CCAAACTCAGGCACTGTAAACTGAACGAAGTCTCCATGCATGACCTGTGGGACACCAACCTCTCGTAACAGCTCGGCCATCTGCGGATCAGCATGACCCACATCAGACGGCATGCCCCAGCCTGACTCGAGGGGCTCACAAGCTTCAGCCCCAGGCAGAGGCGGCATTGCCCAATCGTGGAGGCCAGAAGCTGGCATCATTGCACACAAGAAAGAACTATGAGGGTAACAGTTACTAAGTAGTGAAGTAGCAGTAGAAATACGGCAAATGCTCGTGTCCTAATAAATATGTAGCAGCAATAGATGTGTCACGCAGAGCACTTGACCACGCAAGATCCCAAACTGCGGTCCGGCGCATCATACTTGCCAAGAAACCACCTGACAGGTAGCAGCGCAAGAACACACGGTTACTCCATCAAGCACGTCACATGTTTCTTGACTAGTACATTTTCAGCAAGCAAGGTCTCATGCACCCTCACATGTCCCATTGAATTAACCGTCATGTCACTCAGTGCAAAAGCATGTCACTCCAAAGGCAAAACCTACACGCACACGCAATCTAGAAACAGATCCCTGTTTTCAAGAAAGACCCTTCTTAGATGCTTCTGAGAGGAGTAAAACTTCGAACCATCACACGGCCAAGCAAGAATGAAACGTACCTTTTTTAGGCCGCACAGCAAAACCGACAGAAGCTCCATCCAGATGGAAGCTACATTCCGCCTGAGCTGAACCATGCACAGACTCGCACCAAGGCGCTGTGACATGAACACATCAGCAAAGGCAAAACAGCTGCAAATGGAAATCACGTAATTGCCGCAAACGCATGCACAGACTCGCACCGAGGCGCTGTGACATGACACACCATCAGAGGCGTAACAGCTCCAACTGCAAATCGCCAATTCATGGCAGACGCATGCACAGACACGCACCAGGGCGCTGTGACATGACGGCGGCCGCCAAAGAGAGGCACACAACACAAAAGCCGCATCCCAGCACAACTGGCCGCATCCTGCAATCCAAGGAAACCCGCACACCCTTGGCGAGAGACAATGTCACAGGAAACACAAGCAATAGCACAGACGTGCACGCGCAATGCCTTGGCACCTAAAGAGTAAGCTGCGCCCTCATAGCCTGGCAACCCGGCCGCAGACACATCCTTGAACCTGC